AATATAAATTTATACATATAAATTATATTTTGCAAATATAGTAATAATTATAAGCAATAACAAATAAAAAAATATAAATATACATACATATATTTCTAAATATATGTAATATTTACATATATTTACATGAATATTTTTTCATGTGGAAATGTTAAATCGATTATTGCGTTGTGAGATTAAAAGAGTTATGTTATAAAAAAAATTTTATTAAAAAATATGTTCTTGCAACTTGAGGATTGGAAAGCACCAAAATAAAAAAGGCATATCATGTTTCGAATGAATTGGCCGTTCAATCCTTAAGAAAGAAGTCAGTGTAGTTTTTATATTTGCAAGCACTATATATGTTTCTGAGCAATTTAATCATTTGAAAGAAACTGTTTTCATTAATTCAATATTTAATTTTCGATTTATTGAATATCAGATCAATGTTTTGTAAAATAAAAGAGTGTATAATATGGCTCTTATAAATGAAAATTTTAAATTAATATATACACAATATAATTTTCCAATTTCCGTCCTATTGTTCAGTCCGTGCACTCGTTCGTACCTTGCCGCTACGCGGCGTCTTTTCTCGCAGTTAGAATTCCGCTGAGTGAGGATATAAGGCCACGCGCTGCGAGGCGGATATATTTGTGAATATATATTTGTATACGTATATGTTGTAACTGTTAAAGGGATGCCGGATGTCTGTTTTATCGATCAGATGATTATAGATTTTCTGTGCACCGAAATCTTTTTATTGGTTTAATAAAATAATAAATGCTTTCCACAATTAAAATATGTACAGAAACAAAGTGGGAACCTACTGATTTTGTGTTAAACAAGAAAAATTTAAAAACTAAATTTCTTTATCGACTTCGTCGTCAGGTCGAAAAAAATAATTGTTAATATAAAGTTCTGCTGTTTGTACGTACAAAATAAAAGATAGGTTCCGACTAGAAATTGAATGAAGAAGTATTAGTATATTTTTAGATATAAGTTTAAAAGCCTAATAAATAAGAAAACGGTGCAGAAAATTTTTTACGCATAGTGTTGTATACGTGCATATGTTTAGACATGTGGTGCTAACCTATCATGTGTATATGTGTATACGTGCATATGTTTAGATATGTGTGGTTGCTAACCTATCGGAGTTCGGCCGTCTCTCCGGCATCCTCTTAATTTATTTTATTACGTCGGATCGATAATGATCTGAGAAATAGGGCCGATGTAAGTGGCCGACCACACTTTCGGCGCGGAAAGCGGGAAATTCGCGAAGACCCAAAAATTATGTTTACTTGGGCGCCAGGCGCGAGATTCGCGCCACTCTGAAAATTTACAAATTGACAGATAATCTTCATAAACCGTAAATCATCCCGAAAATTTTCGCGACGGCGATAATCGACTCGCTCAGATCGTCAGGGGGTAGAGGGGGGAGTTCGGACGGTAGAACGGAATTCGAGAGTGGCTATTTAAAATCGCTCAAATGTAACATCATTGAATATATTTGAACAATGGTGAGCGGAGAACAGACAAAAAAAATAATTGTATAAAAGTGTTGAGTAAGATGTTGTACCAAGAAGAAAATGAATATTCTTTCGATAAATTACGAATGGACATCCGCTCACTGGTCGTTCGTGGCGGACAGAGAGTTTAGTAACGCCGAAATACGAAGAAAGCGAAGCCGTAATTTTTATTCGGACGATACAGTACGGCTTATTTACGGCCGAGACGCGGAGCGTTGTTATTATCCCGTGTGACGTCCCGTCTATTTAAATTTTTATTTTCAGTATAACTATTGCGCGCTACTCATATTCTCGTAGAAATAAGACTATTAATAACCATTATATTTTATTAATTGCTCTAATCCGACTATTTTAGTATTAATAACTAAAATCGCCATATCTGGGGTCCTCTACCTAGGAACCAAACATCTCTATCTAGTCCTAACTACGCGACCAATCAGGCTCCATCTAGGGACTCCAGAGACAGCATGTAACTAGCGGAACTAACAGATATTCCAGAGACAGCATGTAACTAGCGAACTAACAGATATTCCTTTACAGGAGCACTTATCGATACACTTAGTACAATAACGCCAAACTGTAAATAATAAGTACGATAATTATTAATATAATTAGATACAAGGATATAAGGACTAAAATGTTAATCCACTCCCTCCTAAAGTAAATTACAATACAACGCGATGTATTATTAATTCCGAAACAACTTATCTTTAGTCAGATTCACAGAATCCTAAATCACATCAATTTATATGATAACTAAAAGAGAAACACTAATTCTTTCAGAATTCATACCTGAAACGAAACACGATTCTGTAAGTGCGACTAAGAATTACCGAGTACACATTTGAATATGTAAACCTCTCAATATATCAATTAATGAATATGGATCCATAAATAATTATAGACCTTTTTATTAACTATAAATATCAAATATTATTATGAAGTATGCCATAATTGACCATAAATATCATATATTATAATTGAAGGATGCCATAATTGACTGATCAATATGCTAAAAGGACCAAACAAGGAATAATAAATGTACTAACAGACATAAGTATTTGTAGAGATCGACTTGGCGACACGATGGCTTGTAACTTGACCCCGTATGACCCCTGCCGCATTCCTGAGCTTTAGGAAAGAAACCAACGCCCTACGCCGAACCAAAGATTTAGAAATCCAAATATTATCTTATCATTATAAGCTACAACTCAAATTATTAAAAGCTAGCCCTTGAATCCCTTACAGAATAACGTTGCACGTTCTTTATTTTAACAATAAATGCCTCTCAATTATTATTACAATGAACATTCAAGGAATTACAATCTCCACATTTTTGTAATGGCTTCTAGGGCACGCAATTTAACCCTTTTAGTATAAATTATAATAATAAATATTAACGTTTTTATAAATAAGCAATTCGGAAACTAATGTAAAAATTCCCATTCGTCTATTAAGAATCGTAATTATACTGCGCCAACAAACCATCTTAGCTGATGGACCACCCTTCGCCCCCTTTTCGATGACGCAAATCGAATTCCTACGGAACCATAAACATGTCAGAATCTAAGCACGCCTGGTCCTCCAAAGGGTATATAAACCGCGGATTTGGCGTCTTGCGAGCACTTCGTGTCAACTCCTAGAATAGAGCATTTCGTATTACTATTTTCTAAATTCTAAATTCTACACTTAGCCGATTACGGTTAATCTAGTTTTTGTGTCAATTAATACTTAGATTTTTTCTGCGAATTCTTATGTTAGTTATCATTCTAGTTACTTCATCTGATAGTTTAAATTCGTAAACTCTAAATTGTACAATTATAAGTCACAGACTTAGAAATTGTTCATAAATAAGAAAATAAAGAATTAAAATTAATATAAAATCAGTGCACGTCTGTTCTTTCAACTCCATCCTGAGACCGAGGTCCCCAGGAGAACTACAGCCCAGGCATAGTCACCAGGAACAACAGAGCAGACCTTCATCTCCGTGCGAAATCAAGTAAGAACTAATCCTTTTTAATCCTCAATCTAATTTTATAATCTCTTAATAACTAATTAATTATATTATAAGGATGATTATATCCTTGTAAATGGACAGCTGGAAACGCAACCTTGTACGTAAGAAAAGCGTACACGCCCTTCAATAATTAGAAAATATAGATCAATCGCGACTACTTTCTCAAATTCTCAAGAGAGATTATCCGAAGATAAACAATTACCTGAGTCTCAAGAGGTGATCTCTTCTGACTTACCTCAAGGTTCCGGATCAATTGACAATTTTCAACATAAATAGAATCTTGATCACCATCCCTCTTGAGGAGATTGATAATATAATCAACGAATTAATAGAATCGTCTAAGAATTCCTATCAAGATTTTCCACCTTTCGAGGAATATGATTTTCCTGCTGTCTCTTTACCAGAATTAATAAGCTCAGGACCGCTAGAACCTCCCTTTGAAACCGATGACTATTCGAAGTATCTAGATCTTTAATAATCTCAACTCGCGATTATTTCCCGATTATTCTAAATGTTCAAATCCTTGATAATAGACTATTACTTTATTTTATTAATAACATACCCAGGGTATAGTTGGTGCATGCAGATTGCCCTAAATAAATAAAGAGCTAACCCTTTCTTCCTAGACCCAGAGTAATAGAGGAGGAAGAAGGTCACTCGGACGTGACACCCGCGTCTTTGAGACGACCCGACGCGGGGATATCGGGTGACCGCGGGACCCGGAAGTAAACTCGCACGCCTACGTGTCGAATAATTATTAACGCACGAGACTTAATAAGGTCCGTGCGACGTAATTGATTCTAATGATTTTACAATTTATTCTAATGATATGACTTATTGTCAGAATCGGCATTCGGCATAAAGAGTTTTCATAGTTTCAGACTCGTAAAACGAAATTGAGGACTTTCGTTAACGGAATAGCCCAAATGCGGATTTCCGCATTTGAAAATTTTTTTCCGAACGCAGATCCCTCTAGATATCCCAATTTGCGGTAAATAGCCCAATCTGGCAGCCCTGTTGTACAGCCCAAATAGCAAGATCAGTTTTTAAATTTTCATTTTTATATTAACATTGTCGGATGCTAAATAAGCTTCTGATTCATCATAGGAATCTGTTGTGTATGGGATAATGCAGCTGGATTATCAAATGTGAATAAAGCATTGTATTAACTATTAACTAAATATATTTGAATACAATTTGTCGGAGCTGATGAGTCCCGTGTCGTGGCTCACGGAAAAGAGAGCCGCGATTTTCGGCGCGCGTCAACGCTAATCGCCGCGTGCGCGTTCTCCAGCGCGCGCATGTCTGTCGATCGTCGCGCGTAATCCGGATCGATATTTCTTTTCTTTTATATATGAAAATGGGTATCTCTCAACACCTTCTCTTGTAAAAAAATAATACTGATATTTTCTGAAAATGATACTAACATTCTTTGGAATATACTGTGTATGCGGTGATATATATATATAGTTATTCTGCTACAAATTCAGCCAAGTATCTCGGCCTTCTTTTGGTCTACTGGAGCATCGCGGTGTTTGCTGAATCGGTTCAGCTTCTTGGCGTTGTTCATTTTGTTGTGGTTGTTCAGCTTGCTGAGGAGCGGAGGCATCTATTTGTATTTCGTTCGGAGGTTGTATAATCTCTGCTAGTGGATCATTATTCTGATTTCCTTCGTTTGCTTCTGGTGCGCTCCAATAAAAATTATCATTTTAAGCATTATTTAAAATAGGGGTGTTTTCCCCAATACTACGTATTTGGTTAACATGCCTAGTCCAGGAACGACCATCATCTAATTTAATTTTATAATGTAACTTTCCTAACTTATCGATAATTTTGCCGAATTTCCATTTTCTTACCCTGAGTAATTTCGGTACGCTACTCTTTCTTTGTTTTTGAATACTTTTTCTGTTGTATTTTTATTCGCTTTATTTTCCTCAATAGGACGAATTAAATCTAATCTAGTATAAAGTTTTCTTCCTAGAAACATCTCTGCTAAAGATTTGTTTGTAAAAGCGTGTGCCATTGATCTATATTGCAGTAATAATTGGTTTAAGGCAACATTGACGTTTCTAGGATTACAATTCATGCGTTTCAAAGATTGTTTTAAAGTTTGTACGAAACGTTCGGCTTGGCCATTTGTCGCTGGGTTGTACGGGGACGTTAATTTGTGCCTAATGCCGTTTAGTTTCAAGATAATTGAAAATCATGCGAGGTAAATGTTCTTTCATTGTCTGTTACAATGACTTGTGGCAGACCATATGCCGCGAAAATTTGTCTGCATTTTTCAATTGTGGATTTAGTAGTAATGTTTGACATTATGTGAACCTCAGGCCATTTGGAATAAGCGTCTATTAGAATTAAAAACATTTTTCTTAAAAAAGTTCCGCAAAATCGATGTGAACTCTTTGCATTGGAGCGGAAGTTGCTTGCCAATGATGTACTTCTATTTTGGGCGGATTGTTTTTGTGTGTATTACAATTTGCACAGTTTTTGGCTAGCGTCTCGATATCTTTATCCATTCCTTGCCACCAACAGTAACCACGAGCAAGGCTTTTCATTTTCACTACTCCGAAATGGCCTGAGTGTAATTCCTGTAGAATTTTAGTGCGCAACACTTTCGGAATAATGACTTTATGTCCCCACATAATGACGCCGTTCTGTAAGCTAAATTCTAGTTGTTCTACATTGAAACGTTTTATCTTATTGATCTGAATTCCTGTTTGTAGTGCCTGTAATAATTCTTTTAATTCTCTATCTTTGATTGTTTTTTCAGCAATCTGGGCCGCTGTAATCGGAAGCGTGTTTATGGTTTCCATTTGGAATATATCGACTGTGTCGACAGTGGCTTTCTGGATTGGAACGGGGAGTCTGGATAGGCAGTCCGCGTTTGCATGCTTTTCCGATTTCCGGTATTGTATTTCGTAATTAACTCCTTGTAAAAATATTGCATAATGTTGCATGCGTATTGCCGTGTAAATTGGTAAGCTCGCAGTGGGCGAAAATATTTGAACTAGCGGACGATGGTCTGTAACCAGGGTAAATTTTTTTCCGTATAAGTATTGAACAAATTTTTTTATTCCGAAAATAATTGCGTATGCTTCCTTATCTATTTGCGAGTACTTTCGCTGTGTTTCTGAAAATGTTTGCGGCGCGAATTGAATAACCCGTTTTGTTCCGTTTGAATAACGATGGGAAAGGACAGTGCCTACCCCATACGAACTAGCGTCCGTTGCTAACACAAGTGGTAATCTGGAATCGAAATGTACTAAAACCTGTTTACTCGTAAACATTTCTTTCGCTCTGCAAAAAGCTGCCTCACATTCTTTTGACCAGATAAATGGAATATCCTTTCGTAATAGCTTATTAAGTGGAAATAAAATCGCGCTTAAATTTTGTATAAAACGCCCGTAATAATTTATCATGCCCGTGAAAGCTCGAACTTCCGAGATATTTGTCGGTCGTGGCATTTGTCGAATTGCTTCCATTTTCTGCTCTTCTTTATGAACGCCGTTTTTATCAATAACATATCCGCAATAGTTAACTTTATCCGAAAAGAAGGTTGATTTATCAACATTTAAACGTACATTGTAACGATTTAACCTTTCTAATACTTCCTCTAATTTCGCTAAGTGTATCATATTAGTTTCTCCCGTAATCACTATATGATCAAAGAAAATCGCTACCCCCGGAATGCCTTGTAATATATTTTCTATTTCTCTTTGCCATATAGTCGGTCCGGATGCAATGCCGTACATCAATCTATTTACTTTATACAATCCTTTACATGTACTAATTGTTAGCAATTTGCGGTCTTCTGGCGCGATTTCTAATTGCAGATATGCTTGTTCTAAGTCTAGTTTCGAAAATTTTTTTCCATTTGCAAGTTTCGCGAATAATTCGTTTATTGTAAGGAACGGGTGGTCATCGACTAACAATTGAGAGTTTAGTGTAATTTTGTAGTCTCCGCATATTCGAATTTTACCGTTCTTTTTTAATATCGGGACTATGGGGGTCGCCCATTTAGATGTCGTGACCTTCTCGATGATTGCCGTGTTTTCTAACTTGTCTAGTTCCTGTTCCACGAGAGATAATAATTTGAAAGGAACGGGGCGTGCTCTAACAAACACCCGGTACTGCGTCCGATTTCAGCGAAATTTTTGCTTGTACTCCTTTTATTGCTGTATATTCTGAAGGTCGTGTATTGTTGTATTTTTCAATAATATTTTGTAGCTTGCTATTAGGGACGAACATTAAAATGTTATCAATTGTCGCACTTGAAGCTAGGAATTCAGATCCGTCGGATAACTGCCTAATCCATTCCCTACCGAGTAATGGCTTTCTAGAACTACCGACTATATACAAGTTAAGCTGATTAGATTTATTTTTATATTTGACGTTAACTGTTATGAAACCTTGACTTCGCAAGACACGGCCGCAATACGAAATTAATTGTAACTGTGTTTTGTGTATGGTCGCACCTGGAAAGACTTTGTTGACGTCGTGTGTACTTATGATCGTGACAGCAGCACCGCTATCTACTTCAAATTCCATCGGTTTATCGTTGACCAGGAGCGTAACGAGGAATTTGTCTCTATGATTTACGTGTTCCAAGCTCAGGATTTCTTGTAGTTGATATGCAGAGCCCTTCGAAAAACACATTGTACTTAGATGCCCCGGCTTTCCACAGCTGTGACAAAGTATGTCCCTGCTCAAGGAACACTTATTAGCTAAATGTGCTTTACCGCAACAATAACATCTTATATTACTATTATTATTTTTCAAATTAATTTTAGAATTTTGATTAGTATTTTGAATAGCGTATTTGTTCTTATAATACTTATCGCCCTTGTAACGCTTGTCTGAAGGATTTTTCTTAGGAGGTTTTTTTCCCGCCTTCAATAAGTCCAGATTTGACGAAGACGGTCCTGCTTCCTTCATCTGCATTGAACTCTTCTCCGATAGCTCCATTGTGATGGCAATTTTTACTGCATTGTCGAAGTCTAAATCCTTCCTCTCCAATAAATGAGTTTGCGCTTTTTTGTTCAGTAGTCCGAAGACGAATTGATTGCGAAGAGCTGTCCTTAGGTATTCTCCGAATTTACAGTGGATGCTCAATTTATGAAGCGCTGCCACAAATTGTTGAACTGACTCTCCCTCGCATTGTTTCCATTGGTGAAACCGATAGTTTTCCGCTATTTTTAGCGGAGTTGGCGCATAGAATTCCTCAAGCTTCAGCACCAGCGTATCATAAGGTTGAACGAAGGGGTCAGCTGGATCAAGCCTGTCGCACAGGATATCAAACGCCGAGGCTCCCACATAGTGTAAAAGATAGGGCACTCTAGCATCTTCTTTTATGCCGAAAATCAGGAAGGCGCCCTGCAGGCACTGTACCCAGCGTTTCCATGTAGTGGTTGCTGGATCGAAAGCTTCGATTGCGAAAGAGCCGGGGATTGCCGCCTCTCGTCACGAGCCGGTGGTTGTGCCATTTTCGAATTCGATTAACTGCACACGTGTAAAGCTTCTAGAAGGTTCACCTTATCCACACAGCACGGGTGGGCGAGACTTGGAGCAAGATCTAGAAATACTTCGTCAGTAATGTGCACGTCCAGCTTATCCATCCTCGTCGCCAGAATTTGTTGTGTATGGGATAATGCAGCTGGATTATCGAATGTGAATAAAGCACTGTATTAACTAAATTAACTAAAAATATTTGAAATACAATTTGTCGGAGCCGATGAGTCCCGTGTTGTGGCTCAACGGAGAGAGAGCCGCGCTTTTTGGCGCGCGTCAACGCTAATCGCCGCGTGCGCTTTCTCCAGCGCGCGCATGTCCGTCGATCGTCGCGCGTATCCGGATCGATATTTCTTTCCTTTTATATATGAAAATGGGTATCTCCACAGAATCTTAACAGAAGATTGTTGTGCGTTCAAGATATCATTATTTTCTTTATCCTCTTCGTGAACAATATAATTTTCAGCACTCTCAACTTCAATATTTATTACATCTGAATTAACTGTAGAAATATCTCCCAAATGTTTTGTGCATTTATAATTGATATCCATTACAGCATCTGAATTAACTGGAGTATTTTCCAACTGTTTCTGTGCATTTATAATGAATGCTGCTACATGATGCTGCTACAGTCGTATTTAATATAGCTTCACAAATAATGTTGAATTCTTGTGTAGCTAGTCTTTTTAAGTGTCGGTTAGAAACGCTTGCAGTATTTTTTCTCGAGCGCTCTTTATTTTATTTTAATTTATAATTTATTTTGTTCTGTTAATATAGTAAAAAATTAATATAAAATATATATTAATAATATTAATATTTATGTCAACTTTTAAGTGTTAATATGCTTTTTCGAATATTATTATATATAATATTATATAAAAATTTAGCGAGATAAAGTTAAATAATTTTAAAAGATTTTGTCACTATTTTTGTACGTTTAAAAGATTATTTAAGGGGATACCGGAATCTGTTTTTATCAATTAAAATTTAATCTAACGTAAAATGATATGGTAATAATTTCATCAAACCATATTTGGCTATAAGTAATATAAAACTTACGACTTTTCGGCCCTTATCAAGTGCTACATAATACCGCCTTATTATAACAAACACTACTTTTTTTTTATCTTAGGTCATGACGTGATGTAATGTCATGACCTAAGATAAAAAAAAGTAGTGTTTGTTATAATAAGGCGGTATTATGTAGCCTTGATAAGGGCCGAAACGTTGTAAAGTTTTAATAAATATTACTTATAGCCAGATATAGTTGATGAAATTATACCATTTTTAATTATCAACTGGTGACTTCTTAGTTTTATATATATAGTAAAATGATATATTTGTAAATTATTGCACATCGAAATATTTATTTGCTAAGCTACTAAACTCGTTTTTAAAAGTTTACAATATTCCTTTATGCAATTCCGAAGGCTGAACTGATCTTATTTTGTATATGTATAACTTGCAACTTTTATATTACGGAAATATCATTACTTGTTACATTTCGATTAGTAAAAATAGACGTCTCCAACATTCCTTTAAGAATAACATAAATAAATCCCCACAAAATCTACATCGATTTAATTAATATCTGCATATTCTTTTGTATATTAAAAGCATTCTACATAATATGTGTATGTTAAAGTATATACATACATATACATATATATATATATATATACATATATATATGTATATACACAGGAATGGACTATTTTACTCCATCCAGTCGAATATCTCGAAAACAAGTCCGGGAGAGAAAGTGTTTCAGACAAAAGTTGTTTTGTTTCGAGGGAGCCATAAGATGGTACCATTGGTTTGACCTTGAAGTCATTTGAATGTCATATGAAGATCACCTTAAAGTTTTTTAAACACTACATATTTTTGCATATTCTTGTAGCTTTCCTCAAGATATTTTCCAACACTATACGTAAATATTTTTTTATTGAGTACTTTTCGAGTTATAAGATTTAAAGTTGCAGTATTTTGACATAAAATACAAATATCTTGCAAAATATTCATTTTTTGATTATCAAACCTTAATACTTTTATGCACAGAATAATGAGACGAATCAGTTGATGTAAAGAAAACATAGTTGTCTTTAAAACAAATATGAAAATTGCAACAAGCAGTTTACCCAATTTTTCTTTAAGACAACTATGTGTTTTCTTACATTAACTAATTCGTCTCATTATTCTGTGCATAAAGTAATAAGGTATGATAATCGAAAATGAATATTTTGCAAGATATTTTATGTCAAATACTGCAACGTTGATGTCTTATAACTCGAAAAGTACTCAATAAAAAATGTTTACTTATAATATTTTGGAAAGATCTCGAAGTAAGCTACACAAATATGCAAAAATATGTAGAGTATCCCATATGCATAAAAGTAATAAGGTATGATAATCGAAAAATGAATATTTTGCAAGTAATTTTATGTCAAAATACTGCAACGTTGATGTCTTATAACTCGAAAGTACTCAATAAAAAAAATGTTTACTTATAATATTTTGGAAAGATCTCGAAGTAAGCTACACAAATATGCAAAAATATGTAGAGTATCCCATAAAAATTTATTGTAAATCTCATATAACCTCAATGACCTTCAGGTCCCAATTAAGTACTCTATTATGGCTCCCTCGAACCATACAAATTTGTCTGAAACTTTTCTGTAAACGTATTTTTCGGGGATATTTGAGTCGTTATTGTAAATGGGACACCCTGTTGTTTATTTAACAATTACAACATACTCGAATAAATAAAAAATATCTTGTGAACTATTCAAATTCTTATCTATCTTATACTTTCATAATTATCCGTGATTGAGTGGCAGAATATGTGCCCGATTTGGTCGAAGATGTACTCACTCTTATTTATTCTCACCAGGATAACAAAATTCTTCTTTTTCCAACGCTGCAAACATAAAAATTACAAAAAATAAATATGTAATAACATGTCTTCGATAATAATATGGCAAAACTGTATATTCTGTGTCTGCTCTTCTCTTGTCTTGATTGCATTGTGTATGTGACTTATTACACAGCTTTCAATACTTCCAGTATCAACATAAATATAGAGCATTATATATTTGTATTAGCGTAAGACAAATATAAGTTCTCCATATATGCTCTGAATCTGTAGTAATAATCAAAAACTGGTGCAATTAGTCACTACACAATGCAATCAATAAAGAGCGAATACAATATGTTTTATAAAAGATTTTGGGATTGATGAGAGTGTAAGAGCATCGACAAACTGAATGAAATGACTTTTAATAAAGAAATGGCATCGTGACTTTACTTACCTTAAAATTTAAATCGTTTGCGTAGGTTTTGATCTTTCGCACATTAACACACAACTAACTCGGAAAACGAAAATGGCCGATGGCAAGCCCTATCAACCAGTATTGACGAAAGACGGTAAGTTCGGATTTAATGTATCTAAGATGGCGTTGCTGTACATTCTGTCGTAACTCAAAAATATGTTCTAAGAATATACGAAATATACAGGAAATCATAATACTGTTAGAAAATGTTAACGTATGTTCTGAGAATATTCGATAATATACGAAATGATATAACTAAATAATATACTGCAAAGATATTTAGATATTCTAACAATATACGAAAAAATAATAGTACCACATGAGACCTTATAGAGATGTTTTTCAGTATATTATATACTGTAACGTATTCACAGTATAACATATAGAATATTTTAATGATATCATGTGCTGTGTGGGATATTCTTTAACTTCTAATTAGGTTCAGTATATGATATGTACTCCGGCTACAATATGATCCACAAGAAATAGAAAATTATTGTAAAAGATCCAAGCAGACTGATAGGTAGGTGTGCTAGCCCCTGCTCCTGATCTTGGCATTGACCATTGTGACCTTTTTTCTTTCTTTTCCAAACTTTTACGGAGGACGATGGAAAGTCTTTCTGCTTGCAAACCTGAAAACAAAATAAAGTCAGACTGTATAATTGTTTAACCTATACACACATGCTTCAAATTTACTTCAGCAATCACTAGTGTGAGTGCTTTTTTACGTACAGTTGTGTATTGGGGCGCACATAATGAATAAATATACGGATATATATCGCAAGTTCTTCTGATACATGTTCCCTATTGCATTACATTTGTCCTCATTATTATTATTATAAATAACCTTCTTCATCCATGTTACGTTGTAAATAAAATTAATTTATTTCGTCTGCGAAGCAGACATCGAGCAGTATAGTTCTGCCCTTGATGATTTTGCGCCTTCTTTCTCTATTCTTTTATAATCATCGAGCAGTACATTTCTGCCCTTGATGATTTTGCGTCTTCTTCCTCTATTCTTTTATAATCGTCGAGAAGTACATTTCCGCCCTTGATGATTCTCATTATTTCCTCAACCGAACTTCTTCAACCCACCTCTCTAGAATTCCCCATTTATCTCCCTTACTACAATAAAATCAAATACTACTTTGATCTAGACCGCTTTCTAATTAAATTTAGCAAGATAAAATATCTCTACTTGGTGGACGTCCATGTAGATTGAGGCAACCGGAAAGCTAAAACGAACGGCGAAAGTTAGAACGAAACCCATCGAGAGTCAACGTAAAGGACCATCAAAGACACGTATCTCGTGCCTGCGTTGGTTAACACACAAACAAATTACGAATAAACCTCTGCATCACATAATCCAGGACGGTTTTCGTTGCCTTCGATACATATTGCGCACTTCTAGAACTAGCATGTCTCCTAACTCTACTAATTCGCAAGCAGCTTTACAGCCCGCGTCTACAAAATTAAAATTGAGCCTACAGCAGGCCACATCTCCAGACCTATCCGGCAGCCGCTTCAGACCTATTAACTTACCCAAATTACCTCGAATTAAACCGAAATACCAAATCTAAAGAAGATACCTCACAGGAGAGCTAATCAAACCTATCGATTTAAACATCAAGATAAAGGAACCCAAT